GTAATCAGTTGAATAACGAGACATTTTTCGATAAGAAGTAGTGGCATGTGCAAAGATTGCTTGTTCATGGCCAAAACCGAAGACTGAACAAGAGTAGTGACGTGGCACTGAGGGAGTGCAGAGCCAAGATCGGACTGATTGGAACAAACTGAAGTATCTGTAATTTAGAATCGGGGTATTTGAAATAATTGCGAATATTCTAATGTTCCCTCATGATTACCGTACCGATGAATCCGGTTTGTGAACTTTCTTTGAAAGCGTAGCACAAGGCTTTCTCTTACGTTGCTTCAGTCCGGAGCAAACAAATGTAGACGTCAGGGAAATCCTACTCTCGCTGTAGACACACCGAACCGCGTCTGGAACTGGCTGTTGCGTTCGCGAATGTTGATGGCCATTTTTTTTACTGCACTTAAGTCAAGTGATTGTTCGGACGCCGTTCCATTATGACATACGCCGTTTTTTGTTTGGCCCTTGCCTTGTACTCGTTGCGGGCTTCTTGTTCATATCCGTCGATTCCTCAGCCGTTTTCGCGCTCATCCCTCTGTTGCCGGATTGGATCTGGCGATAGACGCGTCACCTTTCTGCAGCCACTGACGCTTTGTCGCACAGACTCGTAGTTATGGATTCATCTTGGGGGGGGGCGCCAACTTTCTCGATAGATGATTGATTAGTTTATAAATTGGTTACCGTTTGCTGCTTCACTGTACATATTTCACGGACGATGTTCTCGGCTACGGTGCTGTCTGCATCACTGTAAATTTACAAACACGTGTAATCATTAAATCGGGCTCTGTTCCCAAGGACACCTGTGTAAAGCGCCCTGTGCGCTTACCGCTGGCCGTTGGAACATCATGGTGTCACGGACTTCACATCACATTAAATCACATTTGATTGCCGCGAAGTGACACGTCACCAACGGCTGCCGCCGCTGTTAAATTGGGTATATAAACGGCGCCGCCGCTTCGCGATTCGGCCCGGGGTCAAGCTCACAATGGCGGCCTAAGTGGGGTCCGTCGTCGCGTCAGAAATCCAGTGAAAAGTAGTTGCGTTGCAGACTCGGACAGGCAGTATGAGAGTCGTCTAAAATCGCTGCATCGTCGGACAACGCCACTGACTTCTAGCTCGGAATCAGATTACCGATGTAATATTCAACGATTCAGTAGCTGGTTTGCTCGTTAGTGATCTTACTGATAATGATTCTATGAGTAGATTATTTAGCTTCTTCATTAGGAGATGATGTCTTTATTTGTTTGTTGCGATCTACGCGGTTATGCTTGTACACTGCTTTCTCTGAGGGTCAATGTGATATGGCTGAAACAACGACTGTTTAAAAGGGATTTTACAGTCTGTCTGTTCCTTGTGCCGAAAACCATTGATGTTTCATTTTTATTGAGGGAAAAGACAGAACTGAAATGAGTTTTAAAAATTACAAGAATCACTGGAATTATAAAACGTTTTTCACAATCACTTTTCATGGTTACCTTAAATGTCTTACGATAGTAGGTGTGCATAATTCAGAACATGCTTGATGTACTTGCTGGTTGTTTGGATGGCGGATCTTTTTTTTTAAGGGATTCATGCTTATTTATTTAAGGAAATCAAAAGGCGCTTTTGTCCTGTGATACAAAGCAGTGTTTACTTTTATGTAAGGCACACAAACAACTCTTTCACAGTAACGAAGCAATTGCTTTTTGGCAGCTGCAATAACCAAGTAGAACTGGTTGCGTTCTTGTCTGTTCATTTAGCTGTGGGTTTGTTGAACTGTTATAAGCTTATTAGCTAAAACATTTTTCGCTTTCTCCAGTTGGCTTATTTTGAATGTTTGTATGTTGTAGCTTAAATCGATCGCGTTGTACTTCGGATACAGTACTTTGCTATTTTGTTTTGAAGAGATGTGATCATTGCTTTCCCATTTTAGTCCTTTCCTGGACGATTGTTGTCCATTTAACAACCTTGAAGTTCCTCATAAGATATACCAGAAACTGCAGTTTCCTCAGAAATATGCTAAGGGGATATTTGTGTTAATCACACCACATAAAAATCATTTTTAATAACGCATAACTTCTTCAAGACCAAATTTTGTTAGAAAAATTTTTATTGCAACAGGGGAAAACTATATGAAATGGTTATGAATTTCGGTCTGTATCTTACAGGCTTCCCTTGAGTTGGTTTTTACATCACCTAAGCCGTTTGGTGTCAGCGCATGTGAATTCAAAGTCTGTATTATCGGCCGAACCTTTGTAATTGTTTGATCATTTTGTTTTCTTGCTACTATAAAGTAGCAGTTTCTAACGAGTGATGTAATCACTGCTTTAAAACGTTTTTCTGCAGATGCTGACTGTTTCAAGGCTTATGGCAGGATTTTACAGCTAGGGAATATAATATCCACTTGGGGCACTGGCGCACACAGCGAATTCGTTAAACTTTTGCAGATTTGAAGCTAACCGCAACGTAAAATCTTCTTATTCACTGCTATTTCCATCCAATAAGAAATTCACTCTTTCTTTCATCAGTGCAACCAATCGGGAAACACATAGCTGTTCGATGAGCTCGGAGCAACTATGGGGACAACACACTGCTTCGGTACAGTCATGCAAATCTTTCTAGACTTATGAACATGCTGTCTGATGCACATACTTTGTTACTGCAGTGATTCTGGACCCATTTGATAGCTAATTAAAAGAAGTACATGTTGTGACTTCCTGAATCAAACGTCCTGCGATCCTTATTTATTGTGATACACTTACTGTGATCCTTGCTCATTATTCGAAATAGAGACGCCGAAGCTAGATTTATGTAGAACATTATAACTGAGTAATTATAATAAACTTCATCTTCTGTCGGGTAGGCAGACAGCAGGATGCAAATTTTCGCTTCATCACTACCTTCTTCTGTGTTATTCGTTTTCGCTATTTTTAATAGTCTTTGTTTCTTCGATCTTCGTTTTTCTTCTGCCGATGGGAGCAGTATCGTAGAATATGTTTTAAATTATTTTCCAAATTTGAAATTTTTTATATTTGCCGAAACTGTGCAGTTGCCTCCAGTACTGCATGTTCTTGTGTCGATGTCTATCCAGTAGACTGTGTTCAATGTTGCTTCCTGCACTTTGAGGATTCAGTTGATTTACTATCGCCAGCATAGTTTATGATGACCTATCGCAGAATTAATGAAGCTTTGAACTCCGTAACTTTACTATATTTTTCGACGACTGTCCATGCATTTTGCATTCGTTGAAGTTGGAATATCTTGCAGTAATCATTCTCATCTCGAATATGGGAAGGTGACTGAGCTGTGCATTATTCATCGCTTTTCTAAGATGAACACTCGTCGACTTTGAACACATCGTTGACCTTGAACAGCGGTAGTGGAATACTGCGGTGGTGCCTAAACGCCGTAACGGACAGATACTTTCTAGTTTGGTGTATGTGTTGTTTTGAAGTTCATGAATAGACCGTAAAACATCGAACTCGACTTGGTCTCTTCCGTTTCTGCAGATCTGCTGCGTGCGTTTGTGAAGTATCGTCATTATCTCAGCATGGTTCGACGCTCGTCTTCGCTGCTTTCGAACATGCTGATCCAGTTTCGCGGAAAGACAAACTGACTAATGTATTTTACCGTAATCTGATTATGTTTTTTCCTTTGGTGGAATTCCCGGAGCGGGATTAGAGTTGACATACGTGGCGTCATCCTGGCGCGCTGATGATTGCTGCTCAAAACGGTGACCGATGTGCTGTCATGCTGTGACGGTATGAAACAGTTTTCGTCGGGTGGGATCGTCACGATGCAGTTAGTTAGGTCGTTGTGCGCCTTGTCGTCGCCATTGAGTTGAGTCCGGATGTTACTGATTCTGATTCTGATATTATGTCCAGCAAGGCAGCGACCGTGGCCGAAAATTCTACTGTAATATACTGTTTGTTACGATGGATTTTGACCGTCAAGCAGGTAGTTTGTCGCGCTTGCCTGACGGTGGTAGTTTCAGCGGGCGGCA